CCATAGCCATCCATCAGCCCTCTACAGCCGCCAAAGCAATTCCCACAATTGCTTAAAAGATCGTCGCCAAATTCCACCATCATCTCCACCACCGCAGATCATCCTTTGATCTCCCCGTGAATTGCAACAGGTTCTGGTTTCCTACTTTACTGCTGCTGCAATTTAGTTATACCTATCTGAAAATCCAAAAAAAAAAAAAAAATTATTCCTATATTGCTGCATAAACTTTTAGTTATAAAGTTTTTATCTCTACAACGAAAGATACATTGCAGAATTTCAGCCGCATAGCATTGTTTGTTTGATCTTGATACTATATTTTCTCTGTCGAAACCTCTACAAAATTTTCTTGATTAAATTGGAAATCCTTGTTGTCATATAAACTAAGATATTACTGTCAATTCCCTCCTCAAATCTCTCAAATTTTTTGTGGAGATTTCGTCAAGAAACCGTTGTTTCTTCGACGACAATTCTGTTCTTACAAGACAACACAATTCTGCAGCAAACTTTCACTGATTTCTATCAAACTTTTGCTGTCATCCACCACAGATCAAAAACTTTCATCCACAGCCCTAAAACTCCACAAAACCACACCCTCAAACTGCACCCAAAAAAGCCACAAAACAAACCTAAACCGCAGCCTACATCTACCAATCCACCAACCCTTTCAACCATCACTTCTCTCAACCTATACATGCCTTTAACCCGTCAACAAAAGAGAGATCTTAACATGACAGATTTGGAGTCATATACTATGGCATTTGAGGAGGCAATCAATACTAAATTTGAAGCCTTCGAGGCACGAATGGAAGATAAGATTCGGACTCTCCTTACCGAATTCAGTTTGGGCCGACCACCAAGCCCGAAGAAATCACATCAAGGAGAGAGCTCTAACCAATTACATCATGCCCAAAGAGATGACTTCCAAGAGAGGGGAGGCTCTATGACCGACCCCAACTATTCGCGCATGAGAGTGGACTTCCCTAGATGGGAAGAAGGAGACCCAATTGGTTGGATCTCGTGCGCCGAGCGATATTTTCGGTACCATAAAACTGCGGATGCATCCATGGTGGAAATTGCAGCTATACATCTTGAAGGGGATGCCATACAGTGGTTTGACTGGTTTGAACACACTTATGGAGTACTTTCATGACGACAATTCAAAGAAGAAATGCTGAACCGCTTCGGACCAACTTATTACGAGAACATTGATGGACAACTAGCAAAGATCCGACAAACTTCCACCATTCAGGAGTACCAAACCAGGTTTGAAAGGTTATTTAATCAAACTCGTGATTGGTCTGAAAAACAGCTATTGGGGACCTTTATTGAGGGCTTAAAGCCGGAGATCCGGGGGGAAGTTAAGACGCGACAACCATACACGCTTATGGCAGCCATCTCTTTCGCACGACATCAAGAGGAGCAATTGAACCATGAAGCTCAGAGGACTAGGGTCGCTCCTCAACCAGTAATATTGAAGCCCTCAGCCCCCCCTACTACCCCTACTATCGACCAAGTCCCTACACCAAAGAGGTTAACAAGAGAAGAGCTTCGGGAGCGATATGCGAAGGGGTTATGTTGGCATTGTGACGAGCCGTGGAGCCGTGAGCATCGCTGTAGTAAAGGGAGACTTCTTATGATTGAACCAATAGAAGAAGAGGTCATTGAACATCCAGAAGAGAGCCTTGAACATGAAGAAGAAAATGCAGAAGAAGAGCCACAACCGACCGAAGTTACAGTACATACACTAGCCGGCTACTCAAACCCGCAAACGATGAAAGTTGGAGGCCTTCTCAAACAATAACCGATCACTGTTCTCATCGACATGGGCAATACTAATAACTTTCTAAACAGTAAGGTTACTATCCAGATGGCCTTACCTATCGAGAATTGCAACAGGTTTGACGTTAAGGTCGCCGATGGATGGATTTTGAAGTATGATCGTAGGCGCCCACAAGTGAAACTGTTGCTGATTATGAGGCCTTACCAAGAGATAATTGCATATTTCTTCCTTCTCCCTCTTGATAATCATGAGGCCATGCTCATAATTAAATGGTTGACGACATTATGTGATATTTCTTAGAATTTTATGCAACTAATTATGAAATTTTACAGTAAGGAGAAACAGGTGATACTGAACGGGAAACGTGGGGGCGACGTAACGACGATTTGCATACAACAAATGGAGAAGGTTTTGCATAAAGCATGCAGTAGATTTTTGGTACAACTTGAGCAGCAAACTAAGGGAGAGCCAATAGAATTTGAAGATCCAAACCTACTTCCTTTGTTTGCTGAATTTTCAGATATATTTGACGAACCATACAACCTACCTCTTACCTGTCGGCATGATCATTATATAACGATTCTTTCAAGCAAACCTCCAGCAAATACTCGACCATATCAATATCTACATCTCCAGAAGGATGAAATAGAAAGGATTGTAAAAGAGATGCTCGAAACAGGAGTTATTCGGCCAAGTTGCAACCTCTACTCTTCACCG